TAGAATCTGTCCTATATTGTATGCAAGACTGCATAGATTGGTTCAGACAGTGTCTGCTTAATTGTTCACCAAGTTTAATATTGTCTGGTTTAGTAATTTGAAATTAGTTTTTTATATAATTTTTCTTCTTAATTTATACTTGTCAACAGAATTGTTTTTAATCATTTCATAGACATTATTTCCAGTGCATAGTGAATTGACAAATACATGTGCCAATTTCTTTGTTAACTTAATTGCTATTGACAATGGAGTGAATAGTTTCTTGATTAAAGAACAGTGGTTGTCGCACAAGGCACATTCAAATTTCATATAAACAATGTATTTTAAATGCGTGCGTTGCTACGAGTCCCATATCGAACAAGACGCAGTGCAATAACCACCACTATATTATCTTTGTATTTTTATCAAAAGTTAGACACCCAAAAGTAAAAAAGTTGAATGAATGAATGAATGTATAACAATGAAATGGTATTGATATGAGTAGGTTATTTTAACAAATAAATGTGTAGAATCATGTAAATTAAGAATACTCCTCCCGACGACAACGTAATGACAGGCAGCTGCAAAAGGTATACCACACCACATATCTGGTAGATAAACAGGTAGCACCAAAATGTGTGAAATACAAGAAAGTCAACACAGTGAGTAATCCTGCAAATTTATTATTCTTATCAAAGAGGGCATAAACAGGTAGTACAAAAATGTATGGAAAACATGTATAAAATTGAAGGATTTACCAGTTGCTTTGCCAGTTCATCGTGCTGAACGTATGTTAATTTACATAAGTATAAAAGTCTCCTTGTCAACTCCAGACATTGCACCTTGACTAAAGATAAGTCCCAGTAAAGATGTAAGATATGATTTACAATTTATTATTATATGGGTTATGGTACAATTAGTATAAAGACAGAGACAAAAATAAACTAATGGTCATAACAATTGGTCACATGACCAAAAGTGGTATAAGTATAAATACAGCATATTTATTGTTCTGAACAAAACTGTCATAATGGTACAATGCTCAATAAAATATCCAATGAATGAGCTTTGTGAAACCATTGTTATAGAAGAGATGGCAGACATTTTTAAATTGTACATGTAGTTGGTCCTTGAGTAAACTTCAAGACATCAATTTGTAGTAAGTATTCAATATAAAAGATAATGTTTTTGGGATACATAATCTGCAGGCAAACAATAATTAATCACATCTGCAGCAAGAAGGGAAAGGATCACATCCCGGTATACAGCAAGGCTCAAGTCTAGGATCTTTGGGTTTATTAACCTGGCTAGTCCCCCATATCATTGCGTCTTCAAGCTTGGTCTTCACCTGCTTTATCTCTTCTAATACATCTTTATATTGTGGTTCCTTGTTCATGTTGTAAAGTTCACCAGGGTCACGGTCTAGATCATACAGTAATGGTGGATCATGATGAAGGGTGTTATTTGGATGGCAATCTGTATCTGCATTGTACATTCCTGATTGTGGAGAACCTTCTGTATAGAAATGAGCCTTGTAGTGCTTGTATCGAATGGCATAGGCTCCAATCTTCTTATCTGGATATGCTGGGTAGTAGAGTAAATTATCTCTTGCACTCTGAGAAAAAATACAAGATGTTATGATTGCAGGATCTTATAATGAGCAAATTCCACAATAAAACTTTCTAATGTTTGACTGAATTATTATAGCTTCAACATTTTCTTGATATTCAAATTTGAATAAGCATTTTTATCTTATGAACATGGCCCGTGCACACCACAAATAATTACCAGACATAAATAGTTAACCAGGACATGAAACAAATTAATACACTATGATATATACTGAGTGAATAGTATGTTCTATGTATATTTTACCTTTGCCTGACCAAATAACACTGATGACATATCCATTCCATCTATTGTAACTTTGGGTAGAACACTACCACTAAGTTTAGTGATAGTTGGTAACAGGTCCAAAGTTGTGAGGAAATCTCTTGAACTAACACCAGCTGTAATTTGACCTACAGTTGATTAAAACAATAATAATTTATCAAATGCATACCTGGCCAATATGCTATTACTGGTACTCTATAACCACCATACATACCTGGCCAATATGCTATTACTGGTACTCTATAACCACTATACATACCTGGCCAATATGCTATTACTGGTACTCTATAACCACCATACATACCTGGCCAATATGCTATTACTGGTACTCTGTGACCATCATACATACCTGGCCAATATGCTATTACTGGTACTCTATAACCACCATACATACCTGGCCAATATGCTATTACTGGTACTCTGTGACCATCATACATACCTGGCCAATATGCTATTACTGGTACTCTGTGACCACCTTACATACCTGGCCAATAAGCTATTACTGGTACTCTGTGACCACCTTACATACCTGGCCAATAAGCTATTACTGGTACTCTGTGACCATCATACATACCTGGCCAATATGCTATTACTGGTACTCTGTGACCATCATACATACCTGGCCAATATGCTATTACTGGTACTCTGTGACCACCTTACATACCTGGCCAATAAGCTATTACTGGTACTCTGTGACCACCTTACATACCTGGCCAATAAGCTATTACTGGTACTCTGTGACCATCATACATACCTGGCCAATATGCTATTACTGGTACTCTGTGACCACCATACATACCTGGCCAATATGCTATTACTGGTACAGTGTACTCTGTGACCATCATACATACCTGGCCAATATGCTATTGCTGGTACTCTATAACCACCATAAATACCTGGCCAATATGCATATTACTGGTACTCTGTGACCACCTTACATACCTGGCCAATAAGCTATTACTGGTACTCTGTGACCATCATACATACCTGGCCAATATGCTATTACTGGTACTCTGTGACCACCTTACATACCTGGCCAATAAGCTATTACTGGTACTCTGTGACCATCATACATACCTGGCCAATATGCTATTACTTGTACTCTGTGACCATCATAAATACCCAGCCAATATACTATTGCTGGTACTCTGTGACCATCATACATACCTGGCCAATATGCTATTACTGGTACTCTGTGACCAACATACATACCTGGCCAATATGCTATTGCTGGTACTCTATAACCACCATAAATACCTGGCCAATATGCTATTACTGGTACTCTGTGACCATCATACATACCTGGCCAATATGCTATTGCTGGTACTCTATAACCACCATACATACCTGGCCAATAAGCTATTACTGGTACTCTGTGACCATCATACATACCCGGCCAATATGGTATTACTGGTACTCTGTGACCAACATACATACCTGGCCAATATGCTATTACTGGTACTCTATAACCACCATACATACCTGGCCAATATGCTATTACTGGTACTCTATAACCACCATACATACCTGGCCAATATGCTATTGCTGGTACTCTGTGACCAACATACATACCTGGCCAATATGCTATTGCTGGTACTCTGTGACCAACATACATACCTGGCCAATATGCTATTGCTGGTACTCTGTGACCACCATACATACCTGGCCAATATGCTATTACTGGTACTCTGTGACCATCATACATACCTGGCCAATATGCTATTACTGGTACTCTGTGACCACCATACATACCTGGCCAATATGCTATTGCTGGTACTCTGTGACCACCTTCATATGTAGTAGCTTTACCACATTTTAACATACCAGAACTCCCACCATTGTACCAGTCTCTCAATGCTGCCCTGTTAAAAAAACACAGGAAGACATGATTATAATAGTTTTGACCTGGATTTCTGTGTAAATACTGTAAAAGTGATAATTTCCAGTGTACCATAATTATAGTATTTTTCATTTTGACTATATTTACTATGTTTTGAATTCAAAGATTTCCCAGTGATAATATATGAATGTTACATTTTCACATGGTTTTATTTGCACTCAAAATAGAAAAAATAATTAAAATGAATAATTAATGAGTTCATAGTATCATACAGATAGTTTTGCATTTTTTTCAGTGAATAGCACATGTTACTGGCAAAAACGTACTGATCACATGCTTCAGTGAAAAGTTGTTTTCACTTACATTAGTATGACTGTATATACAGAAATAACTACACATAATGTATGAGTAAAAGGTTACATGTATTTGTCTATCCATTTGACGTAATTATCGATTATTGATGCTTTCATATTGTAGAAGAAATATAAGTATATAAGTACTATAAATTCCATCCATGCACTTTTACACCTCACCCATTATCGGATGTGAAGAAAACCAGGGTGTTGTTCTCTATCTGACTATGTCTCAGTTGTTGCAAGATCTCACCAACACTCCAATCGATCTCTGCTAGTGAATCACCGTAAATACCACGCTGTGTAAAATTATGAAACCTCTTTCCTGCAAACTGAGGAAAATGACAGTGGTTGTACGCAAGGTAAAGGAAGAAGCTTTCTCCAGCATTTGCACTGTCAGTGATGAAGTCTTTGGCAAAGTCAACATACTTTTCTGCTAATGTCAGTAAATCAACAGGTTGCTGAATTATCCTCATATTTTGAAACAGCGGACAATATGTTTTATCAAATCCACATTTATCACCACCTATGACACTCTGCTGGCATCCTTCATGTGGATAAAAACATGTTTCACATGGACAGGCACCATGCACATATGGAACCCCATAGTATTTATCAAATCCATAATGCATTGGGAAGTGTACCATGTCTTTGCCAATGCCTAAATCCCATTTGCCAATCATAGCAGTGTGGTATCCTTGCTGTTTAAGGATATTTGCAATTGTTGTTTCATTCCGTGGAAGACCACCTGTAGAATCTGGACCCAGGACAAATGGATAGATGCCTGAACGGATGTGATAACGACCAGTCAACAGTGCAGCCCTGAAATGAGTAAATAGTGTGAATTAAGTTGTTTTGGGCTTGCACATTAACAGGAGTGGGGGTATGTAATTATTTACACTTCTAGTACTCATAAACAAATTATACATGTTGTGTCAACTCTACCAAATGGTGGTTTGCTGCACAATAGTTAATATGAACCTACGTAAATATATATCATTTTGTCTTTTTTTATGAGAAATTCACAGATTTGTTTCTATTCACTTTTAGATACTAAGTTTTTCTGGAACTTTAAAAATAACAAATATTTATAAAATTTCATTTCCAAGCTTTGAGTAGAATAACACAGTATACAACATCTGGTAATAGATAGGCATAATATCACCATGTCACTGGATCTCAGTCAGGTATGTTAGTAGGATTTCCCTGTCAGTCCAGACATTCCACACGACTGTGTGAGCCATGAGAAACAATAGGAAAATCTTTTTAAATATGGGCGGATCCAGGTTTTGATGCTTAATATTTATCATGCCTTTCAAACTCTGGAGAATCCTTGTCGCTTATGCTACTTTCTGGTAAAATTATTACAATTTTTGGTACATTTTCATTAATCAGACTATAAGAGGGCAATCTTGAAATTTTCAACTAAATGAGAATCACCAACACCAACTACAAACATTGATTGAATATAATAAAATATTTACCCACACATAAATCACCGCACGCATTCAGAGATCAGCGTTTATTTGTTATTTTCAGACCAAAATCTCACTGTGACAGTGTTGTTGATTTGATTTCTGTTGTTGTAGTCAACGCCCCTCCCCATGAATTAAGTCTTACCTTGATGGACTACACAGATTGGCAGCGCTGTAAAAAGACGTGAATAACATTCCATTTTTGGCCATACCATCTAAGTTCGGAGTATACGACGCCGGGTGTCCGTAACAGGCAAGATCTCCATATCCGACATCGTCAGCAAACAGTACCACTATATTAGGTTTACTTCCAGACGAGTGAACACAAACAAATACAACCAAAATAAATACCGCCATATAAACAAGAACAGACATTCTTATGTGTTTAGTGGAAACTTTCATGTATCACAGACGCCAAAATTGGCCAAAACCATGGCTTAGCTGATGGTTAGACCGGACACATTATGTTGCCTAAACTGCATTCTACATTTGTTGTCTGCAACCTTACAGAAGTCATATGACAATCATGTGACATGCTGCGAGGTCAATTACCTCGCGTACCCGCACAGCTAAAATGGTGATACACATAGGCATAACTCACTTTAATACTAGTGACAGAGACATAACTATTAAGGGATAATGAAATTAAAATATAATTGACAAGATACGGCTGTGGTTACGTATCTGCAAATCAAAAACAAAAGCGACGGCCGATAGAATGTCACCGTAAGAGGGCGCATTTCATCACACTGATTTTCATGATCATCAGCATGTGCAACAACTAATATTACAGGTACATTTTTATTAGATGCCTTCGACACACTCTGAATTTTAGGTTTATTTTTGTGTAACATTTTCTAACTGTAATCCAATATTACAATTAATCAATGCAATGTGTTGCTGCAAGATTTAATTAGTTTTAATTTCTTGTGTTTTTCTTTGTCTTAGATCTTGTATACAAAATCAACAGAAATATCTTTGAATCTAACTGGCCACTGAAAGTTATATTGGTCATTTTGTTGTTTACAGGATTATTGGGAGACAGATTCATTTCAAGTAGTCCTTTTAATTTTAGGTAGATTTCTGACAAGTTTTATTTGTACTCATCAGAGTCTAATACATGAATCAACTTTTATTGAAAGCAAAGGTTGATCTGTGTGTCATGCATTATCACTTGTTGACAAACTGCCATCAAAAATCTGCACCTATTAAAAACAATTTTTTTTTTCTAGTCCATAAATGTGGATGTGAATAAAATGGTACAAATGAGAAGTATTGGGGGGGGGGGCTTTTTTATTTAATTTCTTCATTATTTTGGCAGACTTCAAAAAGAAACTTTATAAGCGCATCTTTTGAGCCAACACACATACTGATTAGAAATAAATGTTTGCCTTCTGGATATAGACTTCATATTCACCATTAAAGCTAACTCAACACATTGCCTGCCTGCTTGATGAAAACCTTCACAGTCTCAAAATGAATGGTGGAAAAATTTGTAGACATGCATAGTACAAGACTCATTCGCATAAAATAATATTTAATAAGGCTGCCCAATATAATTATTGTTACAGTATGGTTAAATTGTGAAATATTTACACACAGGAAAAAGTGTTTATATAAAAAAAATGTACATCTTATTGCCCTGGTAGAATAATATACATAAAGCAATAAAATTTACAAATCAAACCAGAAAATATCTAAATGCAAATTATTTACACATATGTTTACATACAGAGAACATTCATATAATTTAGTCTAATTTACATTCAAATATACACTGGCAACCATGGGACCTTTATTCTTTCAGCTAACTTAGAGCATTGCCATCAGCAAGCTAATTACATTTGATACTTTTAGATATCAACTAAGGCCTCATGCCTGCCATCATATGACCCTTGACCTCGTACATACAATCTTCTTGGCTCTTCTCCCATCATGCCTTGGAACATAAACACGCATTCATAATCAGTGTTGTGTCTGAAAAAAATACAGTGAAAGAAAACTGTTAACAAATGACTTCACTTTTCATGTAATCTATATGTACTTTTAGAAGGCAACACAGTCATTGCAAAACATTGTCAACTGAGTTTTTTGTTTTCACAACAATAAATCTTTTTGTGCATTTCTGCTCAATTGATTTGAAGTCACCCTCAGATGCTGAAAACTCTATGAAAAAGCCATCTATCAGCAAGAAGCTTCTATACCATAACTGCTATATTTTGTATACAATACATCAATATGTTAAGAACTTCCAATAAAGGCTTTCGTACAACTTTCAAATTCAAGTGCAGTCAACACATTCAGCTAAACAACATGTATTATCCTGATAAAAAGTCCTGTTAATCTTATTAATCTGCTAATTTTGGACAAAGTGACTGTCAAATTAACAAATTTGATTAAATTAAGAAATAATACAACCTACGATACTACAAAGAGTATAGTACTTGTGTGCACATTTTCAACTGAATCAGGCAATATATTAATGAGGAATCAGCATGGACATGAATAAAAACAAAATGGCTACCAGTCGGTCACCAATTGGCCACTTTTGGTTGAATCTCCCAAAAAAATATGACATACACTTGTAACCCAATATGTCTCATTATCACACAAAGTTTGAAAGAAATCAGAATTTAGCAATTTTGAGGACCAACATGGCCACCAGTCAGCCATACGTAATCAAATGGTAATGAAAATTGATGTGCATATGTAAGTCATTATTAATGTGTGTTAAGTATGAATATGATTGATCAAAGCGTGAAATGACTCAAGATGAACAGACAGAATATTCCCCAATTAATACTTGGGAATAATTTATTAGAAGTACAAACCCTGTGTCATATTACCCTAACTATAAATGACTGACAGTAGCTCTCACCTTGCAGTAAAGTTAATCTTGATATAAGCTTTACTCTGAGATACATGTGTTACATGTGCCTCCAGGTAACCACTAGCCGGTGTCACACCAAATATTCCAGCTTCAATGTGACTTGCTTGTTTATCTAGAATAACAAAATTATGATAATATTAATTAACAAGATTTAGTATGTCTGTG